TTAATTAAACTATTTTAATTAAATAAATATTATTTATATTTAATTTAATTCTTCTAATTAAATAAAATAAATATTAATTAAATTTAATCATATTTAATTAATCAACTGTCAATTCTCATTTATTTAATTAAATCATATTAAATCAAATAAATTATGTATGTGCTAATATATTAAATAGTTTTAACACATAATTAAATTAAATCGTATTTAATTTAATTTTCCATTCCACTATCGGTATTCTATGTGTGTGATCATGTAGGTTCTCGTAATATTGACAATAATATTAAATCAATTATTTAATATTATAAGCGGTGAGTGGTATCTAACAACACATCATTGCTACCCAAATGACGAGAATGTCTTATGATATGACATAACATTTTCTATGATAATGATCATGTGTACAATTACTCTTTTGTCCTTATATCTATATTAAACACAAGACATAGAATGTGTCACCCTTGTATAGTCCAATATTTTATTCTTTGATCCCAGAGTATACTTCAAACAACAAATAAGTCTAATATCTCATATTGACTTATTTGAATACGACCATGCATTTTACAGTCATACTTTATCAAGGGACCCATAGATATTACTCTTGTATATGTATGAGAGGTAAATCTCATTTAAGTCGCTCATGTCCCTCAGCATGATTTGCAAAACATCCATCAACCATTTTTATAGTCATCCTGTTACGGACAACGTTTGATTGGCAATAAAGTATTCGACTTCACATCTATGATCCATAGTGGTTTCAGGTCGAAAGGTGGTATACACCACTATCACTATGAGAATAACTTATGACACTTACATAACAATTTATGTAGTATTTTCATAGTGGGTCAATCCAGTATAAATATTACTCCTAATATTTATACCTACGTGAAGACTTGTTATCTCATATCCATGACTTCTAAGATACAATCATCAGTCTACTCACATAATAGTCTCTATGCATTACTGTTGTCATATTTGATAGTAAAGCTTGATTACGGATACATTAAGAATAATGTCCTTATGTTTAATGAGTTCTCACGATTAAGTCACACTTAATATGTCATTAATAGACTAATTATTTTAAGAACTTTATTATGTCATATACAAATAATATAATAAATATGATGTCTAATAAGTATATATATTAACAAATAACATATATCAAGGTCATGATACAAAAGCATATTAAACCCATATTGATCGGCTATTATGGCTTACTCCAACAATAGGAAGATCAAGAATAGCTTCAATAACCATATTCATCTCAGTCATAAGAGTTAAAAGAATAAAGTGGTTGATTACTTTGAAACAGCCAGAATATAGAACATGACAATTTTTTGAAATCCATCGAAACAAAAGTCTAACTGATTCATTAGGAAGTCCGTGAAATGAGGAATGCGAATAAGAAATTGGTATTTTCATTAGAGGTGGAGGTGACTGCAAATATGGTGGAGAAAGAGGGATGGCGACGGTGTTCGGGTTTGTGGAAAAAAGGCAGAGAAGAGAGAAAATAGAGAAAGAGAGAGAAGTGTGGGCAGAGAAGTGAGAAAGTGTTAAGGAAGAGAAAAAGTTGAAAAAATTGAGGGACACTTGACATAATAGAGAAATCTGATTGGATAGGAATTATGTACTTAGTTAATTACCATTAAAGATTTTTTGTAGTGAAATTTTTTTAAAAGAAAAATATAAGAATAGAAGTGTCTAAACATCTTTCATTCTTAATTAGACGGTAGATAACCCATACTAACTCTAATTATCCAACTTTTTATAATAAACACTAACTTAAGTTGAATTCAATATATTTTACAATGTCACTAGTTCTCTAGGAAAAACAAACAAAAAGGTATCTTTATATGAGTCTTTTCTACATACAATTTCAACTTTTTAAATGAGCTTTTCTACCCATAATGTAATAAATTATATGTTGAAATTGTTCAATGTACAAATGCAAATTCATCCATCAAAGAGTATTTTAGTTACACTTCTATGACATTTTACAATGTTATTTATCTAAATACATTCTTCCATTCAGTTATAATATTCATTATTTCATTAATCTATTGCTTATTTATGTAACTGAGCCAAACCTACTCTACACATCAAGGACCTTAAATTTATTATTCCTTCTGTCCTAAATTAAGTATCACATTTGAGTATTTCATATAGATTAAGAAACTGTGACAAATAAAAGAGAAATTAATATTTTATCATATAATCCTTATTAACTATTGATATATTCTATTGATCATAAAAACTAAGTGAAAGAATAATAAATTGAAAATAATATATACAACATTAATTGAAGGATACAGTGGAAAAAAGAAAATGAAATTTACATTAGAAACTAAAAACCACACTTATTTTAGAATAAATACTTTATTAAAATGTAACATCTATTTTAATACCCAGAAAGTATATAAGAAGGAATCAAACTGATTAGTATGGAGTATTCAACTCTCACACAAATTGTGCATCAACTACTTCCATTAAACTCCTAGTATCAGTGACCTTGAAATGAAATGTCATTAAAAAATGCGTCGATGTTCTTATACGAAGATCCACCTTTACCAATAGCTTTATGACACATAGTCTTAAGTTCTCTTGCTCTATCTCTAATTTCTTTTCCCTCTTGACTTTCAAGATCCATAAACTTCTCAACAAGCACTTCTATATCTTCTTTTACAAGAATCACTTCATTCTCTGACATTGACGATACCTCTATCTTCCATCCATTTCTCCATTCATCAACAATTTGACTACTATTAGGAAATTGATCTAAGAAAAGTGGAAATGTCAAAATTGGTACTCCAGCAAAAACAGTTTCTAAAGTTGAATTCCATCCACAATGGCTCCAAAATCCACCTATAGAAGAATGTGACAATACTCTTAATTGATCACACCACGGTATCACCATGCCTTTATCTCCACACTTGTCTTTTAATCGCGATGCTTCGCCGCGAGCAACATATAGGTATCGAATTCCAGTATTGTTTAGCGCTTCAACAATTTCGTCCATTTGAGCATTGGATACCGAAAGGAAACTACCTAAGGAAATGTATAATACTGATCCGTCGGGTTGAGAATCTAGCCATTTTATATAGTCATGGCTATGATCCGTGTTTTCGAGTTCTAAATACGGTATTGCAGGACCGATAGGATAGACGGGAAAGGAGAATATATCTTTAAGGGTATCAATTGTTTCAGCCTCTAATTCTTGAACTGTGGTGAACAAAAGATAATTTGCTTTGGATGCTGAAAATATGCATTCTAATGCAAGCTGCATTGCTCGGTCATCCGTTTTGTGAACAACAGTTAAAAGGCCTTCCATATGAAGTGAAGAAATACCTGAAATGTTCTCTGTTTTCTCACCTACATTATATAAAACAATATGATTCATTAACAATCGTATGAATACCCTGCAGAAAATATGCAATAAATAAAAGTATCACATGTAACTATATTAGGTCTACTCACCAAACATGGAGATTGAAGATGCAGTAAAAATAAAAATTCTTTTTACAATAAATTTGAAACTATAATTAGAGTGAGATTAAAAATGAGTAATTACCAAGTGTACCAATCGTTAAGTGTTGGTCACGTGAGAAAACATCAAGGTGATGTAGCATAGAGTAAAACGACGCCGACATGGTCCAAAACGCAGCCACTAGAATATTCCTCCGATTCGCAACAGCAACAGGCCACCGCAGCTCGACGTCGCCGACGATCACATCCACCGGAGATACAAGCTGATCAAGAAGCCGCTCAAATGGCTCTTCCATCTTCGTCATGACAGCTTCATAGAAGCCGGGAAAATCGGCTACTTTCTCACGCTCCGATGGGATGACGTTGGGAATAGTAGCGAAGCGGATGGCTTCCGGCTTTGGATCGGCGCCGATATAGCCGAGCCACTCTTCAGTGATTACAAAGGTTATGAGAATTTTTTCTGGTCTTCGTGATGCTAGGATCTTACAGAAGCTTAGCATGGGGTTGATATGTCCTCTTCCCGGAAATGGCATAGCTAAAACGTGGCATAATTTGCTGCCGTCGCCGGTGAAACTCATTGCCGGAGAAATGGGTTGGTGAAAGTTGAGTGGTTGGTGGATTCTTGTAGTGTATCTATACTAACACTAGAACTTTATAGTTAAATAAATGGGTTATAAAATAAGGAAGGAACTCCGTGTAAGACTCTCACTAAATAAAAAAGGAAAATATGTTATAATAAAGATGGAGGGAGTATTTAAAACTTGTCTTTATTTTGGATTTACATGACATATTATAAATCAGTGCGCATAAATTACTCAACGTCATTGTGTCTGTCACTTGGTATTTTTGTCTGTAAAATATTAATTGATATCTTGCAAAAGATAGTGCAATATGTTAATGGTGATTTTTCATCAAAGCTGACATTTATGGAAGTTTTCTAAACGAACACGTAATCACACATTTAAGACAATAAAATAATTTAAGAACCGTTTGATGCGTGGATAAAAAATAGAATTAAATAATTAAATATATTATCTATTTGTATAATACATGATAAGTTAGTTCTCATAAGGTTAAATACCTTATATCTATGTAATATGATGGTGTTTTGATTTATCTAAAGAAATTTTTTTTTTCACACTTTAATAAATAAAGATTTCAATGCAAAAAAGTTCAGATGTATTTTTTTAAGTAAAGATTCAATAGATCTGACTTACGGGGCCATTATCTTTTGGCTGACTGTGTTATAAGAAACACGCTTGGAGTGTTTATAAAAGGCATTGTTGACATATAAGATTATAATTTTCTCATTTCACCCCTTTAAAAAGTTAGGGTTTGTATCAGTCAAAATAGTATCTTGGAGATGACGAAAAGAGGATCCACCACGATGAAGAAGAAGAAGTCTAAGCAATCGGAGCAATTGAAGCAAGCGAAGGAAGCTACTCAAGCAAGTAAATCGAAGCAATCAGTTCAACTAGAAATGCATGAAGAAGAAGTTGAGGCTTCTGAAGCTCAAAAGGTACGTTTTTTTCACCATCTGCGTCGAATTCAGAAAGTGTAGATGCATGTTAGATTTTAATTGTTTTCATTTCTAATTTCAGAATAAGCAAATCTTCAATATTGTGTTCCACCATGGAGGAGAATTTGTGAGGTTGAATGATGGGGTTATGGTTTTGCTGTTAAACAAAAGAAAACAATCCAATAAAGAAAATAAAAAGGGATACGAAATCACAAGAGGATCGAACCAAGACCCCTTAAAAAAGAAGCTTAAGTCTAGGAGTACCTTTCTGGTCAAGTAAGAAGTCCCTAAGCAACTCCTTATGAATAAAAGCTAACCGAGAAAAAATATATAAATTTAAGACCAAGGCCGGCAAGGATATCAGCACTAAAATTGGCTTCCTTATTAATATGGGTGATCAAAAAATCAATGGAAATTGTGAAAGACCGACAAATAAGCCAATGAGACTTGATATTGCTAGGCACAAGGTTAGGATTCGAGAAAGATTTGACCACAGTTAAACAATCAGACTCAATCTAAAGCTTCTTTCAACCGAACTCCTTAGCTTTCTCAATAGCAAGTAACATAACACAAAACTTTGCGTGCTCCTCATTTCCAACACCAATATAGTAAAAAAAACTGCCTAAATGATCAGCGTTGAAGTCTTTGAAAAATTCACCACACGTGATCGTGGGATTTGTACTTATGTATCCAATGATTCAGACTGCAAGTGCACAGTCTTGTCGAGTAGTTTTAAAAGATATCAAACCACAAAGACTGATGAATCGATCTACCGTTTTCTATTGTTACTATGTAAATCTAAAGCTAATGAATATTTGATTTGGGTTGTAGGGGAAACTAATCGCTAAATTAAGTTGTATTTTAATAATCAATGAGCTTAATTACCGGTATGCAACAGTCTTACCTCGGGAACTAGCGACCTGTCGGGCGTCTTTATGTTTTTAAAACAGTTTTCAGTAAAACCTATCTAGTTTAAAAACCCTCGTCTCACACTGTCGTTTTGTTGATCTAGGCTATGCAGTTAAGTCCTAACGTACGCTTCTGCCATCCCGCAGAAGTTAAAAACACTTTTTGGAAACTAAACAAAATCTTAATTAACTTTAAAGTGCTTCCGCTGTATTTTAAGCCAATGCCTAATTACTATTGTCCAGTTAAAAGATCTCAAACTTCCGCTTTGTTGACCCTAACCACTATCTATTTTTTACTTCCGTAACAAAACAATTTAATGATTTGAAAAATAGTAACTTAGGTCAGAAAAGAAAGTTTCGTAATAAAAATAGTCCCGACTAAGTTACTCGTTCCCTCGGTTGATTGACTTTACATACCGGTATAAGATTTCTAGCTTGACATAATATTAAACCAAATCGCAGAATAATTTAAAGGACAAACACAAATAAATATAATTATATTAATTAATAAGCAATAAGAATTTGTAAACATAAACCTGGTAATAACTCTGAAGACAGAAGCACTCCTGCACAAATTGTAGGCTTTGCTTCGATCGGAGAATATATTTAACCGTACAGAAGAAAATAATGCTGAAAGAATAATGCTGGAAAGAAATAACTGGGAAAAGAAAATAATGCTGAAAAGAAAATAATGTTGAAAATAATATTCTGCTGAAAATAATATCTGCTTAATAAAATCTCTAAACTTTCTCGCCAAAAAGAAGAACCCTTTCTACTGTGGTCTCAGGCTCTATTTATAGTGCTTGCTTGATTCGTTGCTCTCGAAAATGTAGGAACAGTTCACTTTTCTTCCTTGAGAAATAATAGGCCATTTAATTGTCACGTTCGTTGCTCTCTTGACTGCGTGGGTGAGAGAATGTAGGAAATCGTTGGCTTAACTCTTGAACGTGTTTCTGTCCGTTGGATGAGGAGAAAGTGGGGTGATAGGATGTGACGTTCGTCACACGCAAGTGACTATCGTCACTTGGTCTTCATGGAGCGTGACGTTCATCACGTCCCCTTGACGGTCGTCAGGGCTTGGTTGCTTGTGGGCCACGTGCTCACATGTGTAATGGGCTTTTGGGCTGGTTTCTTCTCCTTAGGCTCTTTTACTACTTTTGCACCCTTTTTTCTTCATTTCTTCAAAAGTGTTCGGCTCAGTGCATATCTGCAAAAATAGAAAAATACCTGCATAATACTTATAAAATAATTTAATTTAAACTAAAGTATGAGAAATATTTGGTGTATATCAAGCCAGAAATATCACATATTTGTGTGTCATCAAACTCCCCCATACTTAAAATTTGCTTGTCCTCAAGCAAATGCTAAGTACGATGTTTTTCTAAACATGGTTATGACTCGGATCGACTAATATATAGCTGCATTGTGTTTTTGTCAGAAAATCGGTGGTTTGATTCGTGCTCCATAACTACGTCGGCGACGCTAGACAATCTCATTTTACGTAAACTAGTTACAGGTCCTATCATAGCCTACCTCGAGTATTTGTATTGTTTTTCCCTTTTCATTCTAGCGCAATCACATTAAGCTCTTTATCTTCACACGCACATAGCAGAACAGTCGGTTAGTGGTTATGATCCTTTTAAACTTTTAGAGGTTTCTGGCACATTAATGTGGCAACCTTTAATTCAAATGTTGGATGCGGGGGATCAGATCGTAATATGCCCTACCGAGTTCAGTACCAGATGCTCCTGAACCATCCATCAAATGAATTTTCATGTTACTTTGTAAGGTTTACATCCTTTGGATTAGGCGATCGGGTGAGGATCGTCCAATTTAATCAGTGTGTTTCCTTGCAACATTTTGCTGAAATATTCTATCATCCACTTATATTCATCGACTTCCTACGTAGTTTGTGTTTAAGACGGTGCTGACTGCTAATATAAACTACTCAAGGTTACTATAAAGACTAAACTCAGGGTGTTGGAAACAACGGGTACTTGAACTGATCTATCATACTCTAGGGTTGTAGAGTGTCTAAACGGTAGAAATTTCGCTTAATCTCGCCCCAATTCCTGATGATTAAAGATTTTGCAGTCTATTTACTTGTCGAGTGAGAAATTTTTTTTATGGGCTCAAAAAAGAAAGGGGAGTCTAAAATAACAACACAAATTGCTGCAATAGATGACTTGAAATTTTTTTTTATTGAATTTAAGATAACAGAAGGGAAATTACAAAGAAAATAAAAATTACTAGGAAAAGGGAAATACTTCCTCCCCCATACTTGAATCATACATTGTCCTCAATGTATTGATAGAAGCGGGAAAGGGGAAAGATAACAACATAATCATTCTTCCTCCTCTTGTCTTTGGTATCGGCCACGTGTCCTTGCTCTTCGACGTGCTTGCCCGCCATGTCTGGAAGATTCGCCGCCATCTCTTTGGGATATGATATTATGCAAGTCATTAACACGGAGTGTTAAGGCTCGCATATCTGCCGTTATTCCTGTGGTGAATTCCAGCATACTTTGATCGTGCCTGAGAGCGTAGTCATTTTGGTCTCTCTGCATTTGTTGCATGAGAGTCATCATCTCGATTTGGCGTGTCTCGAGGCTCTGGTGGCGTTGAGTGGACAACTGGTTTTGTTGCATTATTACGGCATATATTGCGTCGATGGTGGCGGGATTGTTGGCTTGCTGTGGTTGGGGATCTTGATGCTCTAATTCTTCTTCGATTTCGTCAGTGGCAGCTGTTGTACCCCAAAATTTGCCCTCTCTTTCTTCAAAGCCTTTCTCACAAGGATTTTCAAAGTTCAAAAAGACCTCAAATGCATAGGATTGACAAATGAATTTTTCAGTCAACTGATCAAAATTTGAATGTATACTGAAAAGTCAAACTTTGACTTTTTAGTCAAAATCAAGTGCCAAAGGTCATTTTTCATCATTACATGTCAAATTATGAAACTTGTTCATCAAGAAACCTAAAAATGCAAATTAGGGTTTAAAATGAAAAAATTTCATAACTTAGAATTTTTCTAAGTTATGAAATTTTCTTTTTTTTCCCCAACTTTGTCCCATTTTTTCACCAAGATGCAAATGGATTCAAATAAAACTTGAAACATGAAAGTTGTAGTCCATCACAAAGTCTACAACTTTGATTCATAACTTCCTTTGGTTATTCTTTGATTTATGTTGAAGCTGGTTTGCAAATGTGTGAAAGAGGAAGTTGTAAGAATTTTAGATAGGGTCTGATTTCCTTCTACTATTATGCTATTTTTTCCATGATTTTTTCAATTAGAAAACTCCGTTAGAAAGTTGGTTTAATCTGGTATTGGAATGAGTTGGCAATTCTATTTCTCCTCGTTTTTCTTTTTTGCTTCCCTGACTTTCTCTTCTGATTTCAGAATTCCAAACTCACGGTTCCCTGAATTTTCTCTTCTGTTGTGCCTTACTCTGATTTAATACCGGTTCAACATTATTGTTCTTCTGTGCTTCCCTGACTTTTTGATTTGCTAACGTCTTCCATGTACAGGGCTGCAGTTTATTTGTTGTGCAGGGTAATGGAATTGGTTTCGCGGTTTTTTCTGCTTCTTTTGCTGGACATGCTAGGCTGTCAGTTTTTCTGGATTGTTTTATAGTCTCATGCAGAACTGTAACTTGAACAATTATCTTGGATATTAAAAACATAGGGCATGTTTAAAGGATTTGGCCATGGGTACTTTGAAGGTAAGAACATGAAAGCATGGTGAAGCCTTGATGATAGAGCTAAGATATGGGGAGAAAGGCAACAATTACTGAGAGCGTGGACACGAAGTTTCGAAGATCGTAGCAATAATAAGGCTTATCTTAGGTTTAGCATAAGCTTAGAACTGAACTTGTAATATCAACAACATGCTTTCACTTTGTATATTGTAACGTTATTGGATCATGAATGATCTTTGTATATAAAGATTCATTAGAATGAAATGTTTCAAACTCTAATCGGACTTTGAATGAATTTGGATAAGATTTCATCAATACTTGAATAACATCACGAACGGAACTTCAAGTTTGAAACTCGTCATGACAAAAAGATCCACACTTTATTTCCATCACTTAGAAGTCCATGTTTATTATTCCTTAATGTTCGAATGAATAATGAGAAATTTGAATGGGGTTTGCACAACCTTGCGAGCTTTTGTTGAATGATAATGATGAATGACGGATTTGGAAATGATTTAGTTTGGATAAACTTGGATAATGGATGATGAGATTTATGGATGAAGAGTTTGAACAATGTTGAACAATGTCGAACTTTGTGCGAATGCCTTTGTGTCTTAGCCCTTAAATTTTGCATCTTGCTTTCAAAAATATCCTTATGATTGATTGCTTACCAAATTTTCATAATGGAACCACTTGAATCGACCTCAAATCCAAATTATCTTGCATTCTCAATGAACCTCTGATTTTAACTCTCCAAATTCGTGCCAGACTTAGCTTGCATGACAAGTAATTGATATCTGAAAGAGTGATGATGTTTTGAATCTACAAACCATATCTTGTACTCTGTATCCTAAGCAACCAAAGTATCACCCAAGCATCCTCAAGCTCATAGACTTCCATCAGGAATCTAACCCTTGCAACGATGAAGATAAGTACAAAAACCTTAATTCAAAGCATTCTCATTTGAATCCGAGTCATTGAGAAGGTAGTAAACACTTGATGCTTTTGAAGGAACCTTAAAGATGGATGTCTTATAATATCCCCGATGCAAGAAATTCTCAATGAATCGTGCACACAAAAACCCTAGCTCCACAAACCAAAGATTGTTAAGTAAATAACATGAATCAACCTTGAATGAAAGTGAGACTCTTAAAGCCAAAGAGAAACCGTACACCTCAAACTCTTTGATCCCATGCCAAGTTATGTTGTTAGCGAATGTATGAAATGTTAAATGACCTAATGGAGTTATGTACATGAGAAAAGCGCGACAATGCATAAACCAGATAAAAGTAATAGGCTAGGACAAATTTGGGATATTACATCAGGACTTGGTCAAACCGTGCAGGTGTGCCCGCAACTAGCCGTTAAATTCGAGGAAGGGGTAGGTTACGACAGCGGTTTGGTCGGTTCCTAGTTGTCCGGCCGACTTGAGGTCGGAGACTGAGAGGCGCTTTTCGATATTCATAGGTTAGTGCTGATCCAGGAGGACAAACGACCGACCGTGCCTGACGGAGGGTGGAGGAGCCCGGGTCGTGGTCGCATGGGCCGTGTCGAAGGAGGAGGTTAGACTGGACCCACTCTAGTCGTTGGGCCAATCCAGAACAATAATCTTGGGTTCAAAATGGTCTCTTAATTTTTTTTCCGTGCCATTTTGGTCCCTTAACTTCTAAAATAGTTCATTTTAGTCTTTTTTGTCTAATTAGTGACTGAAAAACTTAGAAATCGACCGCTAAATTCGTCTTTAATTAGACAGAAGGGACTAAGATGAAACGTTTTAGAAGTTAAGGGACCAAAGTGACACGAAAAAAATAAAGTGATCAATCTGAACCCAATAATATAGTTAAGGGACCAAAATAAGTATTTTGTCAAAAAAATTATTTATATGAAAAAACGAAGAAAAAATTGTTATTAATAAACTTAAAAACTGAATATTTATTATTTTAATTTTGTTTTATCAAAAATAAAAACAAATATTATTAATGCTTTCTAATAATTTTACATATACTAAAAACATATATTCTATCATTTAAACAGATTTATACACAATATCATATAAATTTTATCACAAAATTTCTAAAATAATATACACAAATCTAACCATCACTATTTTTATCATACAAACTTCAATAAAAAAAGACATAATTTAAACAGCTCATACAATCTAATATCAAATAACAAACAATTAATTTTATATATGTACCTCAGTAAATAGATTTGATGAAAAAATTGAAAGGAAATCCGAATCCAGCAAGATATTTAAGTGTTAAGTTTTAGTTTGTGTTAAAAATGAGAGATTTGAGAGTGTTTTGAGAGTTTGTGGAGAGAGTTTTGAGAGTTTGTGGTAAAAGTCTGAATGATGGAAAGTGGAGGAAGAGAATGAGATAATAAAGTGGTTGTGAAAACTGAATGCAACTTTTAATATTGCAACTTTTAATATAGAGTCTTCGTTGTTTTTTGCAAGCAAATCATTGATGGTGTTTTTCACATTTTTTATAGTTATTTTTGTTTCACTTTACATATGTGTCTTATCATTTTTTTTGTGGTATAATAGAAATTTATTTTATTTTAAATATTTATACTTTTTTATAATGATATAACTTTTGTTAGTCTTCTATTTTAACTAATTTTATAATTTTTTATTGGTTGATGTGAATATGACTTTTTTTTCATGTGAATCAGAAGAAAATAATAATAAAATTATATCACGTTATTGATATTTGAGAAGTCTAATATTTATTCAGGTAAGTACGTATAACCATATTATTTATATGCTTTAAAAAATTCTTTTTTTATTGATATTTTTTTCATGTAAATCACGAGTATAAAATATATGAGACTTTCATTCTTTTTTTAATTATTGCATTATTACTGCTTTAAAGGTTTATAAGATTGTTATTGATATAAATACATTTATTTAATTTAATCATAATATTTTTTTGATTTATACAACATTGCTATAATTATTATTTTATTCTTTTGTAATAAGTGCTTTTAAAGAATAATAGTTTTATTACAAATATGATACTCAATACATTTATATTGTAGTTTTTTTTAACAAATAATAAATGTATTTTAAAAAATAGTCATTATAATAAATCCGTTTTTGAACCAAATCACATTTTAAATTATCTTTGTATTTTAAAGCTCCTTATTCTTACTATTTTGAAACATAGTTTGATTTCAGAACATCCGAATTGAATAGATAGTTTGAGTCATGACACTTATATTATAATCTTCATAGTTAATTTTAATATTAAGATATAAGATTTATATGTCTATACACCCCATCAAAAAAATATCTCTCAAAGTAAAAAAAAAGTAAGATAAAATATATTATAGAAAAGAATAATATCTCTTTTATTTCTTAATTGACTATTATTTTTTTATTTTTTTATTAATTATCTATTGGATTGTCCGCTTTATAAGACTCGTCATTTTTTAAATTTTAATTCTCATAATTTTTAATTTTATTTTCTTTCATTCTCATTTTTATACTCACTGAATTATAATTAATATACACTATAATGACGACAATATATAAAAATTTTAAAACTTAAATAAATAAAATAATAAATACAAAATAAAAAAATTAAAAATAAAAGGAATGAAGTAAGAATAAAAGAATTTAATATTCTACATATTTAATATTTAAGAAAAAAAAGGAATATGAATGATTAACACCTTAATAATTTTTATTATTGTTTTATTATTAATATAACAAATTTAATTAGGTTTATTAATTTGACTGTTCCAGATTTCTCAAATAATAAATTTATCATTTAATATTTAGGTTTTTGACATTTACTAAAATAAAATAATCGACAATTAAGTTTGTAGATTCAAAATTAATTTAATATAACATGATGTTAACGAATGAAAATATATTTTATTATATTGGTATTCATTTAAAGAATTACCTTTGATTAAAAATATTTTTAAATTAAATTATTAATTAAAGTTTAAAATTAAATAGTTAGAAAATAAATAAAATAGTAGTTAAAAAAGTTGTTGTGATAAAAAAAATTATATATTTAAGTTAGCTTCTTAATCTTTTAAATTATAGGCCAAACAATATATAAATAGTTTAACTACATATCTACATTTATTAATATTATGCACCAAAACTAACTTTTTTAATAAATAGTAAATTAAATAATTAAATATTACTTAATATTGCAAAATTATATTTAAATACAATCTATACAAAATTTATTAGATATTTTATAATTAATAAAAAATATATTAATTAATATAATATTTATCAAATTTATAATCTAAATTATTTAAAATAAAAAATATTTTAAAAATATATAAAATAATTTTCATTAACTTTTTTAAAATCTTCTTGCGCATCACGAGTCAACATCTAATCAATATAATTCAAATGTCTCTGCTATTATTTATTTTATTTTTCTTCTATCTTTAGTGAGAATATGTGTCCATAGTTGTTCTCTTCATATACATAAACAATGCATCACACGTGAAGATATATCATTTGCATCTCTTTGATTTAATAGTTTTTCATATGAATTTCAATCGAATCATAGTGGCCCAAAGAAACCACTTGTAAAAGTAAAGTAGATGTAACTTCTTACACATATTTGATGTGTGAAGGTGATCTTCAATATTGTGTGATGCATTTTCAAAATGGTGTGAAAGCAACTCATACAAAGGTGAAGAAGATGAAGACCATAGATAACTGAAAAATGTGATTGGAGAAAGTTACGGGACAGAGAAAATGAAATAGAATACATTAAGCATTTCTAATGTTTAATCATGCTTAAAGTTCTGTCTTCCATTAAAAATGTGTTATGCATGAATTAGAATCCCCGACATGTTTAGGATAGACAATCTTCTTACATAAACTCAATGAATTTATAGTTCGGCTAAAATTATTTAAATTTTGAAGAATACAATATTTGATTATCTGGCTATAGAAGATACACAAATGAGCATTAAATTATTCATAAGAAAAAGTGAAGATTAAAATGATACAAAATATTTTACTCTATGGTTTAATTCCATGTAATACATGACCAAGAAATTCTTTCACATTATTTTCTAATGACCCTCCACTTGCAACTGCACATTGGCATATTTCTTGAAGGTCTCTGGCTCTTTTCCTCATACCCTTCACTTCATCATCATCCAAATCCATAAATCTTCTAACAAGTTTAGCAATTTCATCTCTTCTTATCAAAACATCACCCTCTTTAACTTCCTTCTCCAACCTCCACCCAACTTTCCAATCCTCAACTATACACTTACTATTCATAGGTTGATCCATCATTATTGGAAAGGTAAGAAAAGGCACACCACAAAACAAACCTTCTCTAGTTGAATTCCACCCACAATGTGACCAAAAACCACCTATAGCACTATGCATCAACACTCTCAATTGGTCACACCATGGCAAAAAAAAACCTTTATCACCACAAATATTTTTCCACTTAGAAGTTTCTCCACGCATTACCCACAAGAATCTAACACCGCTTTGGTGTAAACCATTAGCAATTTCGTCAATTTGTTCACTTGAAACCGAAAGGAAACTTCCTTGTGAGACATATAGAACAGAACCAAATGGTTGATTATCTAACCACTTCATGTAGTCATGGTTGATGCTTAGAGATGCAATTTGGTTACTAAAATATGGTATGGTAGGGCCTAAAGTGTAAATTGGTATGGAGAATTCTTGTCTTAAAACATCAATAGCTTGAGGTTCAAGTTCATATATGGAAGGGAATAATAGATATTGTGCTTTCTTTATCCATGGTATGTTATTCAAAGCTAATTGTAATAATTTACGATTACGGCATGTGCCATCATTAAGTGGTAAGTCTAGTAGACGAATGGATGAGTTTCCAGGAATATAATCCACACGTTTGTCACAGTATTCTGTTGCAACAATGTAAATATCACACAAAACAGTTACAAATATTCACAACGAATATTCTAATATAAACCAGTATTATTTCTTAGGCAATAATATATTAATGACGTTTAACAACATGTAGAAATAACTATAATTTTGACTACAAATTAAACTAACAAATTAAACTAATTAATCACTTGCTCAATCAAAGTAATCACATTTTTGCATGTGATTAGTTATTTCAAAATAATAAATGTACATTAAATTAAACTATAGAAGAGACATACACCATACAAAATTAAACATAAACTATATGTGCCAACAAAGTTGACATATTAAGTTTAATCCATATTCAAATAATTTGTTTTTAGACTTATAATCCATTCGTTTTTACTACCTTAAACTATTCCCAAATAGCTATATGTTTCTCTTTTGAAGTAGTAATTTTTTTAACTCAATTTTATTTTAAAGTGGTAAATAGAAAAGTAACTGACCTGAAACGTTTACCGGATAATCACCATTTAGCTCCAAAAGATGATAATGTTTAAGAACAAGAAAAAACGACGCCGACATTGGCCAAAACGACGCAACTGGAATATTTCTCCGATTCGCAACGCGAACAACCCAGAATAGGAAAGTGTCGTATATAATCACCGTCGGTGGTGGCTCAAGCCGGTCGAGTAGCCGCTCAAACGGTTCTTCCATTTTGGTCACAACAGCTTCAATGAAGTTAAGGAAGTCATTGGCTCGACCCTCTTCGGAGGGAATAACGTTTGGAATAGTGGCGAATTGGATGTTGTTCGGCTTTGATTCGGAGCCGATGAAACCGAGCCATTCTTCGGTGACGACGAAGGTAACGAGGATGTTGGGGTTGTTGGAGACTAGCAATTTGCTGAGGTTCATCATTGGGTTGACGTGGCCTCTGCCTGGGTATGGAACGGCGACCACGTGGCTGGTGATGGTTGCTGGAGAAGGAACTCGAGCTTCCATGGAAGGAGATAATGTTTAATATTTGGGAGAGTGAAAGACAACGATAGTGTTTCTAAAAGTGTTTTTATTAAGATACTATATTTTTTTCTCAATAATAGTGTTTACTAATAATTGATCACACATTATGATTGAGGGGTAGCAAATATCAAATTGGACTCCTATAGTTGTTTTACTACTTTTTATATAAGGGTTTGAATCCAATTCTCTCTTCTTCTATCATTTTTTTTCTTGGTTTATTATTCTTGGTTTATATTTTTGTATGTTAATTTCAAGGTTATTTTAAGATTTTTAACTTAAAAAAGGTTATATTATTTTTTAACTCTTTAAAATATATTGTATTAATTTTTTTTTACTGATCAACGAATTTAGTGATTAATTTTTTTAATTGTTTTGTTATTAATTAAATAAAAATAATTAATATATTACTTTTTTAAGAGTTAAAGAATTAATATAATTTTTTTAAATTAAAGACTAAAGTAAATCTTTAGATTAATATTCAAGATAAAAAATATATTAAATTTTTTCCACAACTTTTTTTATAAGTACATTATTAGAAACTTAAAAAACTAAAGTGTAAATTTGAATAAACAATAATAAATAATTAAAATTAAAATCAATTAAAAAATTGTTAATAAATATTTTTTAAGTAAAATAAAAATAACCAAATGAGAAACACAAGAAAATAATTAATTATTATTATTAATATGGAAGTCTACACAAGTTAAATGGTAAATTTTTTTACGTGTGAAAGAGACAATTTATTTAATAATATGATTGTCACGATGACAACTTTAAATAATACCCTAACCTAATGATGTGTCATATTTATAAAATTCAGTCAACTAAAAAATTTCTTAAAATTTTCCAATTGAAAAAAATTATTATTATCTTAATATTTATTATTAAATAAATTCTTCAATTGATAATTAATATTAAAAATAACTTTAATATATATATATATATATATATATATATATATATATATATATATATATATATATATATATATATATATATATATATATATATATATATATATATATATATATATATATATATATATATATATATATATATATATATATATATATATATATATATATATATATATATATATATATATATATATATATATATATATATATATTAAACTACTGATTGAATCATGAAGTTATCTGAAAAAAGAAAAAAAAAACTACTGATTGGACCATAATAATAAAGAGTATTTAGAAAGAAGTGTAATTCGATTAAATTTATCGAACGATTATAATTATCCTTAGATAAAAACTCATATGTACTATCAACCCAAATGACATTTGTAATCAGAATTTATCTACCTATAATCAGTGATTAACTGACTCATTAATAACTATAACGGTCACTGATGTATTTAACCAAATGTTACAAAGAATATAATGTTTACTAGTTGGGAGAGTGAAACAGAATGATAGTGGTTACTAGTAGTATTTTTATTTAGATGCTATATTTTTTTCTCAATGATAGTATTTCTAACCGTGTTTTTATTTAGATAGTTTCTTTGTCTCTCATATTAAAAAAGTTATTTTTTAGATTTATTAAATATTTAATATATTTATGTATAGATTAAATATATTAAATATTTAATAAATCTAAAAATAACTTTTGTTTATAATATAGAGGAAGAGGAAGTACTATATTTTTTCTCTCAATGATAGTGTTTACTAGTTGGGAGAGTGAAAGAGAATGTATTTTGTTGACTTTGAAGACACTTTGATGTAAAAGGACTCTACCTCTAAAGATTGATCACACATTACGAGTGAGGGGTAGCAAATATCAAATTGGATTCATATAGTTGCTTTACTACTTTTATATAAAGGTTTGAATCCAATTCTCTCTTCCTTCTATCATTTTTTTTTCTTGGTTTATTATTCTTGATTTATATTTTGTATATTAATTTCAAAGTTATTTTAAGATTTTTAACTTAAAAAAGGTTATATTATTTTTTAATTCTTTAAAACATATTATATTGATTTTTTTAACTATCAATGAATTTAGGGATTAATTTTTTAAATTTTTTTGTTATTAATTAAATAAAAAGAAATAATCTATTACTTTTTTAAGAGTTAAAAGAATTAATATGATTTTTTTTAAAATTAAAGACCAAAGTAAATCTTTAGATTAATATTCAAGAGAAAAAATATATTAAATTTTTTTATAAGTACATTATTAGAAACTTAAAAAACTAAAGTGTAAATTTGAATAAACAATAATAAATAATTAAAATTAAAATCAATTAAAATTTGTTAATAAATATTTTTTAAGTTAAAAAAAACCAAATGAGAAACACAAGAAAATAATTAATTATTATTAATATGGAAGTCTACACAAGTTAAATGGCAGACTTTTCTATGTGTGAGAGAAATAATCTACTTAATACTATGATTGTTATGATGACAATCTTAAATAATACCCTAGCCTAATGATGTGTCATATTTATAAAATTCACTCAACTAAAAAATCTTAAAATTTTCTAACTGAAAAAAATTATTATTATCTTAATAATCATTATTTAATAAATTCCTCAATTGATAATCAATATTAAAAATATTCCTCTTAATAATTATTTTTGAATAAATCTCCTAATTGATAATCAATATTAAAAATAAATTTAATATATATATATATATATATATATATATATATATATATATATATATATATATATATATATATATATATATATATATATATATATATATATATATATATATATATATATATATATATATATATATATATATATATATATATATATCAGAAATATTAATCTCGGCCGGGTCATAAAGTCATCTGAAAAGATAACAGATTAGTGACCGAACTATAATAATGAAGAGTATTTGAAAGGAGGTGCAATTCGGCTAAAGGTGTTGAACGATCATTATTATCTTTTCTTAATGATATCTTGGTGAGAGAAGAAACTATTCTCCGTTCTAGGTGAAATGCAGAAGTTAGAGAAGTTTGTTACCTTTTTCAAGTGATATTTTGATCAAAGAAGAAATTATTACCGTTCTTGGCGAAATCTAGAATTTCGAGAAGTTTATTACCTCATTCCAAGTGAAATGCTAGAAGACATTGAAATTTTGGAAGTATCAGGTTGTTATCCTTTTCAAGTGAAAAACTTGATGAAGAATAAAATTAGAACCTGTTTGTCTCGGAAAGGTTCATTTTGTTTCTCTACCTTTAGTAAAAGTCGGTAGTTCACCTTCAGTAAAAGTTGGTGCACATTTTGTTTCTCTACCTTCAGTAAAAGTCGGCAGTTCACCTTCAGTAAAAGTCAGTGCATCTTGTTTCTCCACCTTCAGTAAACATTGGTGTCATCTATTATCTTTTTCTACCTTCAGTAAAAGTCGGTAGTTCACCTTCAGTAAAAGTCGGTGCATTTTTTTTTGTTTTGCTATCTTCAGTAAAAGTTGGTGTATCTATTTCTACCTTTGACACGGAGTTGGAAATTTACCATCATCTTGATTCAGTAGCCATTTATCTTTTCAAGCCTATGCAAGATGTCTTCCCTAATAAGAGTCTCTCATTCGAAGTTTGTGGCTCTATTCCCCAGTGGAGTTATAATCTATTCCCCTGTGGGATTACTTTATCATGTGCTTGGTTTCTCCAGCAGTAGTTTATCTCATGTGGCGTCATTCCCTATAAAATTCAGAATATTGCATTCGTATCATATCATAAATATCATTGTGGTATCTTAGGACCAAAAATTGTGTGTACTATATTTAAGTATCTTTAATCTCCTCGAAACGAAGATTTCAATCTTCATATCTCCGAATAGAAGAAATTTAAATAGGGGCAGCTGTCATACTCAAATTTTTGACCTAAGATCTCACCTTCATTTGCATTTTTCATAAAGCATCAAGGTCACGGGATATAGTTGATTTTTAATTCGCTCACCTTCGAGCATTGCTTATGCAGAGATTATCAATTATTGTACACATCTTATCTTATGCATCACTAACTTAGAATCAAGCACATATGTGTATGTTTTTGTTTCTTTGGTTTTCATGTGCAGAGACAGGTTTGAATCAAGAGCGTCAAATGTTGCGCCTCAATTAGGATTTTGGATACATTAAGTGTTCAAGTATGGTGAATCACTGATTCTCAAAGACTACTTCATCAAAGTTTAGCCTTTAACTAGAAGCACAGTCAAGATTTCATCATCACTGGCCCATATGTATATCAATATGTCTGGGAATGCAAGGAAAGGTCAAGTTTGCAAGTTGATTCAAAGCACTTTGACCAAAAGACAACTTTTTGCAAGATCAAGTTCAAACGATCATAACTTCTTCATTATTCAATATTTTGAACGGTTCTTTTTTCTTATAACTCTTTTTGACGTCATCTCCAACTCCTCTTTACCAGTCAAGAGCTGATTATGTGCGAAGGATCATCAAAAGTTCGAATACTTTAGAGGTCATTATGTGGAATTTGACCTAATCTTAAAATAGTTGTGCCCAACTTCCACGGATCATAACTTCCTCCGTTTTTAATATTTTGAGGAGATTCTTCTTGCACATTGTCATAAGTGATGTCATTGACGGGTTCTCTTCACAGGTCAGAGTTGAATTATGCTTAGAAGACTATGGAAAGTAATGAGACGTTACAGGTTGCTTTTTCAATTTAGAATGTTCCTAACTTATAATTTCAATTCATTCCATAATCGTTTCTTCAAAGACATTTATTCTTATGATGAGATAAACTAGATTTTTGAGTTTGAAGATTCTTTGATTGGCCGTTTACTTATAATTCAAGTCACTCATGTTTGAGTGTTAGTGATTATTGGATCGAAGTTGGGTTTTGACTAAAGTTCTTAAAGGCAAGATTTGTACTATTGGCTCGTATTTCAAGTTACTATGAATTGAAGATATGGATTTTAATGAAGAAGATTTGAGGATCCATTCAGATAATTCTTTTGACTTCAGCTTAATTCAAGCATGTGAGGCATAATTCATTCATATGAATTTGTCTTTGGTTCAAGATATTCAAAAGGATCAATATGCTTATGGCGTAAGTTTGATATATTTGAAAAAATCCATTCATGTGAACTATTTTGAATTCAAGGCAAGGCATTCATCAACTTCATTCATCTTCATTCAAATTTCCAAGCTTTATTCAAATACAAGATTCAATTTAAGTTCCTTACATCTTAAGTTCATCAAGAGAGTTTGTTACATAAATTTCAAATCTAAATTTTGAGTAAATTCATCATCTTATAAGACTTGTTTGAGTTTCAAATTCAAGGTATGTTTAAAGTTACATGAGATTATTGCAAGTCATAAACTTATGCTAGTTAATACTTTCCTTAAAAGTGCTCCGCGACCATCTTCATGAGAACCAAGTCTTGTCATTTTCTAGCTTATAAACATCACCATCATCATTTGTCATAACCAAACAAAAACCCACAAAGCTCCAAGCAAAACACTCCAAAACCAGCTGCTACAAACTTGTCATTACACTCTAAGACCTACTGTTGCCCCTGTCCACAAAACTAGTCCAAATTTGCACCATAAAACCTGCTGCAATATGAAAAACAGTCCCTATCCATTGCTCTGCAAATCTGCAACAAAACTGTCCAAAAATCTGCACTCCAAAATCAACTATGTCACTGCTGCCCTGCATAAAAAACCAAGCAAAACAGGCCAAAAGATGCATTAAAATAGCACACACGAAAATTTGTCTCAAAAAAAGAGATAAATCAGTATTAAAGAATTCAAATCCATCCCATTTTCCCCCTCAAAGTCTCCCACACTTTTCATTCCAATTTCATCTCTCTCTCTCACCTATAAGTACAGGGCTTAGTAACAGAGATAGAGGAGGAGAAAAAAATTACTGATAGGAAAAAAAGATTACTGATACAGGGGATGAGAAAAAAATTACTGATCGGAAAAAAAATATTACTGATACAGGAGAGGAGAAAATAACAGAGAAAGGAAAAACTCAGAAAAACCAGTAAGGGGGGGCAGCGAGTAACATCACAGAGTAAAATTCCACAGAAAATCAATAGAAGAGAAAATATTAAGAAAAATATCAACTAGCTCCGCGTGTGCAGCTGAGATCGCTACCCTTCTCACAGGTTTTGCTGATTGGACCTTTGAGGAGTTTAGAAGGCATAGACATGGTGCTGCTCAAAACTGCTTTACTACTCTTAAGGGGAATCATAAGATTATTGATGCTAATCTTCCCGACGAGAAAGAGTGGAGGAAAGAAGGTATAGTCAGTGAAGTTAAATATCAAGGCAGATGTGGATCATGCTGGACATTTAGCACAACTGGAGCATTGGAATCAGCTTACGCACAGGCATTCAGAAAGAATATCTCTCTTTCTGAGCAACAACTAGTGGATTGTGCTGGTGCTTTCAATAATTTTGGATGCTGCGGTGGGTTGCCATCACAAGCCTTTGAATACATTAAATACAACGGTGGTCTTGAGACAGAGGAATCATATCCCTACACTGGAAGTACTGTAAATTTACATATGAAAATGTTGCTGCTAAAGTCCTTGGCCCTGTCAACATTTCCTTGGGTGCTGAGGATGAATTGAAACACGCAATTGCTTTTGCTCGTCCCGTTAGTGTGGCATTTAAGGTGGTGAATGGCTTCAAATTATACAAGAGTGGAGTTTACACTAATACAACTTGTGGGAGCACGCCAATGGATGTGATACACGTTGTTCTTGCTATTGGGTATGGACTTGAAGATGACATACCATATTGGCTCATTAAAAATCCGTGGGGACTGATATTAGGGAATCCACGGACAAGGGAGAGAGTAATAAAATACTGTTGAAATTTCGTTTGAAGTAGCTTCCTTCAACAACCATACACATCATCCTATCATTCATTCAAATCATAACACCACACTCAAAAACAGAAGCAGTAGAATACAACAACTCTTTTCACCTGCAAAAGTTAACAAAACCGAAGCAGAATCGCGCAACTCAGCAGCATCGCAAACTCAGAAGAAGGGAGAGAGGAATAACATACCAGGTTTTTCTTTGATTCATGCTGTTGTCATTCCATTTTTGATTAATTTTGTTTTTTTGTGTTTCTTTGTGCATAAACCCTGAAACTGAATAAATCCTTTATTGTTGTTTTAACCAAAACTATGTGAAACCGTGTTGTTTTTGGTTCTAAAAAGAAAACCAATTACAAGACTAAGCATTATTGTTTCTGAATTGTAATCGATCATGAGAGTTAAGAGCCTGAGCATAACCAAAGAGTTTGCGACTGAAAAATATTCTGATTGAGAGGCAGAATCATTATTTTGAATGCAGAGAGTTAAAACTTTGTAAAAATAGTAACCTCTAACACGACTTTCTTCAACTTTTAAAACAACACCACCCTCAACCTCTTTTTCGATTCTGATTTGCAACATAGCACTGTCAGAACGAGATTTACAAATAAGAGAAGGGGAATTAGTCACACTAGTGCAGCTGGTGCCAAGGGGAAGAAGAAGGGTGCAACCTTCACCATTGACTGTGCTAAGCCAGTTGAAGACAAGATCATGGACATTGCTTCACTTGAGAATTTTCTTCAAGAGAGGATCAAGGTTGGTGGCAAATACGGTGCTCTTGGTGATTCTGTTACTATTGTCAGGGAAAAATCAAAGATAACTGTTACCTCTGATAGCAATTTCTCCAAAAGGTATTTGAAGTATTTGACCAAGAAGTACTTAAAAAAATAATGTTAGAGACTGGCTCTGTGTGATTGCTTCAAACAAAGATAGAAATATCTATGAGTTGAGGTACTTCAACATTGCAGAGAGAACGATTGAGAGATGAAGGTCGTGAGAGAGAGGAAGAAGCAATGAACGATTTGTGAGAAAGAGTTGAGAGAGGCGTGAAATAGCAACAAAGAGAGTGAGGATTCGTGATATATTATGCTTTTTTCCAAATACTCTGTTTTAATTAACATTTAATTGAGAAATAAAAAATAATTAATGAGGACCAAATCCCCAACAAGACCAACGACGCTTCTTCCATGTATTTAGGGTTCCTAAAACTCTTCATTTACCTCTTAGATGGATCCGGATTTGGGCCTAGCCCAACCCGTTTCACAAGTTTTGACTTTTATAGTTTTTGATTAGTTAAATATAATGAATGGATAGCTTGGTGTAATGGTTAGCGCGCTAGTCTTGCATGCTTGAGGTCCTGGGTTCGATACCCACTGAGACACTTTTATCATTATTCTGTTTTTATCCCCTTTTAACCCAAACTCTTTTTATTTTAATTAAGGTGTGTATATGACAGAAAAATAAACATGGTTAAATGGTAAAACAGATTAGTTATAATCCATAGAACCTGAGTTCAAGTCCTAGCTGTTGCATTTTTATTTTCTAATTTTTAAGTCTTTTGCCTTATCTCAGGTTCCTATAGGATACTATAGATACATAGGGTTCTAGTATATTCCCTTTGTATAACCAACCCTCGAACCTTCGATCTCTTTCAAATGCATTGTATTTTTCTTTACTTTTAGTATTGCACTTACTTTGCATATTTATGAGTTTTATTTTGCACTTTTTCCTTTTTCCCTTGGAAATAATAAAGCGTGGTGGCGAATCTTGCTTATTTATGAGACAAGTTAATCAATATCTTGATCTCCGATTTTCACCGCTACATAATTGGTGACTCTGCTAGGGAGTTAAAAATACTCTAAGTGGGTTAAACCTAATTTGTTATATTTGTTTTCGTTATTATTGCTTGTGCGCTTATAGGTGTTATTTTATGGTTTCTTTGGGTGTTGATTACAACAAGCAAGTCCTATACCCGGACTAAGGTACACTTAAGATTAGGACAGGCGGTATAGTCATGTTAACTTTGAGGGAGTAATCCCGAAGAAGGAGATATGAAATCCCCCACTCATTAGAGGTTGTAACACCCTAATTCTACCCGACAATTAATACAAAAATCATAGTCATAAAATTTCTGACAACTAAATCAGGATGCTACAATTACAACTTAAAACAACGACATTCATTACAGATACATAACATATTAAATTGGAATGAACCAACAGTAACATAATTTTAATCCTTTAACCGACAACTTTCATAACTACGCAGCAGAATAAAATATTCAACTTAAAATAGTATATCATCTTTGTCCAACTAAACAACTTCAAATAATAAGTATTAAACGAACAACAACTTAAGGTTCAATCAACTGAAACAATAACAACAATAAAACAGCAAGCGTTCATCCCCCCGAGTGTTACGTATCAGAGCAATGACACTGACTTGAACTATTGAAGGTAAACCGCCTTCACTCTGGATTACCTACACGTTACCAACATTAGGGTAACATTCAAACAAAAGGGTTGAGATATCGAACAATATAATCAGATGTATGATAATATTACATTAGAATTAGTCTATGCCAAATCACTATTTCACAACTTTAAACAACGCCAATCACAACGAAAACATCAGTGAAACATAATATATAATTTACCAACACAAAAACTCAATATGCAACGTGAAATACAAATTGTTACTATGCACATGCATGTGGTACCAACGGAGCAGAACTCCTAACTTAAAAATGGAGCAGAACTCCCAACTTAGAAATCTTACCAATTAATAGAGGCAGCAACAAGGCATAAGCCTTCAACTTAATATTTTCTCAATCCAGGCCAACTTAACGAGCATCAACTCCAACTTGATATGCGATATATATGATAACATGATTAAGTGCAACATCAACAACAACATAACAACATTGGCATAAGCCTACAACTTAATAATTCAACTTAATTCAACATTAACCATAAGCCTACAACTTAATAATTCAACTTAACTCAATATTGGCCATAAGCCTACAACTTAATGATTCAACTTAATTCAATATTGGCCATAAGTATACAACTTAATAATTCAACTTAATTCAACATTGTGCATAAACCTACAACTTAGTAATTCAACTTAATTCAACATTGGCCATAAGTCTACAACTTAATAATTCAACTTAATTCAATATTGGCCATAAGCCTACAACTCAATAATTGGCAATATAACATAACTCACCACTAACTGTAACTTCAACAATTAATAACAACAATACCATAACTTACACATGCCAATAATATTATTAACACGATCCTACTAAAATACTTCTACTAAATTATTCTGCCATAAGCCTCATTAATAGTTTTCTGCTAAATTAGTGAAACTATTATTTTTCTGCTACTTAAATTACCTCTACTGCTAATATTTTTTACTTACTAATGTTTCTGTTATTTACTACAAGCCCTGCAACTAAAACCATAACAATTACTAACTTTGTAACATAATAATCTTAACTGCTATATTTATGTTAATCCATACATTATTCACGATTGTTACTAGTAAATCGCCCCTACTGTTATTCACCTTTTTCTAACTATGCTACATCCAAATTCTGTAACAAAATATTAAAGTAACAGACACACAGTAAAGGCACAAAAAACAATTAAAGAAATTAATGGTTAAGGGTCATGCCCTTCGGCATGCAGAGCCATGCCCCTCGGCATGAACATGGTGTCAGTCGGCACCCTTCTCCAACATACATGTGCCGCTCGGCACATGTCTATAATTCCTGTTCTGTAATTTCGTTCAGACTTCCTGCGATAAGTAATTCCTTTACTTTCCACGATCTTAGACCAAAACTATATATTCACAACGACATAATAACTATACTCACATCAATATATAATAATTTCCAACAATCAATTCATCGATTGGATTACTACAACGTTAGCACAATTATCACATAAACCAAACAACAATTTGTTCATATAATCATCACATACAATAACAATTTTACACAAACCAATTCCCACGTAACATGCATCATATACCCAATTATAGAGCCAAAACCCCACTCTTACCTTGGATTGAAGGTTGCTCTACAATTTCCGATCGAATCTCGCTTTTCCTCTTTTCCTCTTCTCTATAACTTCTACGTTCTTTTTCTCTCTTTCAACCCTTGTTCTTCTTCTCCTTGACAAAACCTATTTTCTATTATTATAACCACACTTAATAATAATAGTATTGCTATTGGGCCTAATTCTCACACCCCCTTAATACTACATACCACCAAAATAAGCCCAACGACTAATACTAATAATTCCAACATTATTATTATTATTAATCAACTAATTAATTAATAATAATCTAACAACTTATACCAACAATCTACAACATCTCACAAATTCAACAATTAATCCAAAAATAATTTAATTAAATAATTAATTAAATTAATGGGCGTTACAACTCTCCCCCACTTAGAATATTTCCGTCCTCGAAAATCTACCCGATACTACCACTCTTAACGCGAATTTTGCATCTCATTCTCTGATCTCCAAGTCGCGTCTGGCAACACTTCTACCACTACTTCTCGACACAATAATAACTCAACACGATTTAAATCAAATACACACATGCTAATCATTCAACACCTTTTTAACCCTATCTTTAATAATCTATCAACCCCTTCAGCAATATTTTGACATATCACCATTTAAAGTGGTAACACACTTATACTTAGATATACAACATCACATTATCATCTCAACAACATCTTCAACACCAAAACACATACGCAATTTCATTACCATATATATATATATGTCAATTACCCACAAACTACCAACAACTCTATTCATATCGTCGTATCACCCTTATAGTGACATCAACATAACCAACATAATCAACTTCGTCATATTATGGAGTGTTATTCATCATTTACGGTAACTAACAACAACACCACGGCAACAAGAACAAAATCATTATAACATCAACTCAACAGTATTATCCAACAGATATACACACAACTCACCATCATCTAACAACCACAATGATATCTTTATAAAATCAGCAAATACTTACAAAAAAACACAGTACTCTGGCACATCATCTTTATATCAACAATCCTCCAATTCAAACATGTAGATCAGGACATATCATTCCCATAGGCTCCTGATATGTAGTCCTTCTCTTCTAACGAGTCGTACATGCATAACAACTACGCCACATCACGCTTCAGCTGCACAACTCTGATAATCCATCTTACGTCACCGTCCTGGTTAAAATTTCCATCAAAATATGGGTTACAAGTTTCAACCTAGTTTTGGACTTTCTTTAACATCCACCATAAAATCTTTGTTCACTCGATATTCTCAATCTTTCACTTTGCGACGTTAGCTTGCATATAAACCCGCCACACCGACTTGTTCAATACGTCTCAATTCTTTCCTAGCCACTCCTCTATTAATTCACACAAAATGGTGAGCGACTATTCTCACGATATACATCAATCACTTTACACACCATTAAGATAGCAAGACAAATCTCTACCATCCAACACGATCTCGTCTACTATCAACAAGAGATTAAGGGTGATCAATTCCTCAATTTGTCAATAGATAGCCGACAACCATAATGGAGTATAAACCATCGTTACCAAACTATAATAGTGTTACTTTAGAACTTGTACTCAAGTCGCCTCAAGCACCATAATCCAATAATTTCCAATGAGGTTTACAAATACTTCCATAATTTCCCTCTCATGCGATTTGTCGATGAGACACCAATGCTCAACATATTACATGGTCCACATTACACTCACTTAGCCTTACTCGAAGGTTAAGTATTCTATAACTCAAGAATTATTTTCTTCATTTACGCATCATCAGGAATACAAAGTCGAT